ACTCCGGAGGCATTTGAACAACCCGAGCGACGTCGGAGCCACTCCACTCCAAGGCGACCGGCGGCGCCGAGGCCACCGGAACCATCAGAGCCAGCCCGACCCGGTCCGAGCACAACCTGAACGGTCGGAAGCACGAGAAACCCAACGTCACATTCGTTCCCGGCCGGCCCGCCTCCCAGAAGATTCGGACTCCCGTCTTCAGCTTTGACATTGTTGATTGCGCCGCGCTCGAACGGGCGATTTGGAACGCGTGCCGCCAAACGGAAGTCTTGCCGTCATTTTTACGGTCGGGCCGTCTCGCCTCGCAGCCGGGGAAAGGCGGCTCGGAGCTCGTCGAATGACAAAGTCCGACCGACCCCCGAAAACGCTCGCCGTTTGTCTCCCGGAAAGAATTGCGCAATAAATCGAAAAGATGCAAAGCGTTGTGATTTTTTTATTGCGTTGGCCCAAAAAGAGAAAAGAAGACTTCAAGAGTGGACGGCGGCGGCTCGTCGGTCGCTCGGGGTTCCTCGGCAGGCGGTCGGTGTCGTGGGCGGATCCTCGGGTAGAGCTTCCGGCGAGAGGCGGGGCGGAGCGGATTGAGGCGAGCTTCCAATCCAAATCGGTCCGAACGCGGACGCTGAATCGAAATCGACGTTCGTTTTTGTGAACAGACAAATATGCTCTCAACATTTCCTGTTTGTTCCAACTTCCGGTTGTTCCTCTATAAATGTTGTTGTGTGTGTTATGATACTTGTCCAAATAATAAAAAAACATGTAGACGTGTCCTCCCTTTATCCAGCCGCCTTGATGGCTGACACGCGGCTATACTGCGTAAGTAAGCCGCTGACAACAGACGTCCATATGGTAAATGTGTATCGGTCAAGAAAGCACCGCGCGCCATTTTGGATGAGAGCCTCCCTTTTATTGTGAAGGCGTAAATACCACCTGGAAGTGACGTTTATCCGGGGCGCCGGAAGCTAAAGTAGCCTGTGCTAGCGGTGAGCGGCTAGCAGAGCTGCTGCGCGACTTCACAAACGTTCTTTTTTTTCGCCACACACACAAACTTTTTCAGCTGATTTCAAAAGTCGCCAACGACGACCGGAAAAAACTCCGCAGGTGGACGACGAGCGCCGAAAGGTCCCTTGCAAATAAATGTTCCAAATCTTTTAAACGTTGTCAGCTTTTCAGGCCCGGACGACATGTTGACGAACAGAAAAGCGCTTCAGGAAATGGAAACGGAATCATTTCAACGCTTCTTTTTAGAAGGCCGTGTCCAAATGTCACGTCGCGGGGGATGTCGTCAAGTCAAGCGAATTGTAGATCTGTTTATGATTTGTTTTGCTCATGACACGGCCATTGTAACCTGCTGTCGTACCTCCCGTCCACAAGGCGTCGCGAGAGTTCTATGCTTGATTTTTTTTTTTTTTTTTTAACACGAGTAAGCCTGTAACACGTTCTTGGTGCCCCTTTCTTCCGATCAAAACTACACTCACCGAACCAAAAAATGGGTGCCCGGGACCGTTAAGAAAGAAAAAAAAAAAAAAAACTTGTCGAATGAATGACGTGTGTGTTTGCGTTGGCAGCGTCGGAGCCCGACACGATGGCGGGCGGCGATGACGAGGAGAGCAACTCGCTTGCGTTGACGGAGCGACGAAGAGAAGACGGTGACGAAGAGGAAGCGGCGGCTGATGACGAAGATGAAGATCGGGTAGGATCTGCCGGGAGTGACGATGAAGAGGAAGATGATGACGCCAGCGAGGAAGAGGAGGCGGCAAAGGTCCAGCCGAGCGTCTCGACGGAGGAGGAGGAGGAGGACATCAAAAAAGGTGAAAGGCGGGATGGTTGCGCAACCGCGGGGGGGGGGGCGAAATATTGTCTCGGGTGAAATGCCCCGCCTCCCTCAACTGACTCCGCCCGTTTCCATCGCAATCGACGGAAAGAATACGAACGCGGGGTGTATTTTGTGGCCGTCTTGTCCAGAGTTGTCGGTCATGTCGTTCGAGGACATCCTGCGACTGCAAAGCCGCGTGGGCACCAAGGCGTACAACCGGCTCGCTTACGGCGCCGGGCCGCGCTCGGCGGGCGCGGCCCGGCGCAAGCGCCTCAACAAGAAC